GCTAGTTGAGTGACTCCCTCTCTCACTCCACCTGCAGCAAGATTACAATCTGAACCTCTCAGGAAAGACATATTGCTGCATGTTGTGGACCTTCTGGGTTATCAGAAATTATATCTGGGAGAACATGCTAAATGTCTGCTGTACATGATCTTACTTTTCATCTAATCTCGAGAACCCTGTAGGTACATAGTATCATCTTCAGTTTTTGAGACAAGAATACTGAAGCTCAGAGAGGTTAAATAACTTGCCCTAGATCATGCAGTTGGTAAGTGAAAGAATGAAGATTCAAACCCAGGCCTGTCTAAATTTAAACCATGTTTTCCCCCGTAGTCAGTAGCTGTATGAACTTGAGTTAGTCCCATAACCTCTCTGAGCATCACTGTCCTCGTCTGTAGAATGACAAGAATCATAAGTATCTCAGAGGGGTGTTGTAAGGAGTGAGTGGGATGACAGAAAGTGTTTGTGAACTGTGAATTTCAATATAGATGGAAGGTGGTATGATGATGATGATGCTGCTGGCTTCTTTGTTATGGAGTAATTTCCAGCCACTGAATATGCTGCGGGATCTGCTCCACACCACTCTTCATGACAGTGTCTGCCAGGCTTTTTAGAAGGATTCTATCAGCTGTAGGTTACCGGAAGATTTCATGAAGCACAGACACCAAAGACTGAGTGAATGATTGATGAGAAACCATAAAGACTCCCATGAAGTTGCTGAGGTGCCCCCAGCATGGCCAGAGCAAACTCCTCTCCAACCCCTGTTTGGATAATCCATACTACCATCCCAGGAGGCAGTTAAAGGGATGCTCTCCATTTTATAGATGGAAAAGAGTCTTCTGGAATGGTAGTAGTAGCCCAAGATCACAAGAGCCATTGTCATCAAAACCTGAGCCAAAGTCACCAGCTTCTCATATAGGCCAGGACTCTCTGGGATATTCCTGTGGGAATCAAACTCCATATCCATAACCCATAAATGGACATTTCTTTCTTTTAAATACATTTACGTGGGGAGCAAACTTATATCTATGAGGGACAGAACATTTCTGGTTTCTGTGGCCTCTCTAGTAGAGATGTAGGTATGATGTGCAAACTTGCTTACAGAATGAAGAACAGGTGTGCGAGCTGGAGAGGAGGGAGGGCCCCTTAGGCAGGAGCTGTGTATTTCCTTATGAGGAGCTCTCTCTCTCTCTCTCTCTCTCTCTCTCTCTCTCTCTCTCACACACACACACACACACACACACAGAGCTATGGAACCTGGGGGAATTTGGCAGGAGAACACAGAGAGAGGCTGCCCCTGACAATCCTTCTTCCACTGCAGAGCACAGTCAGTGAATCCACCTTGGTCGCCCTGCTGGCAGCAAGGAAGAACAAAATCCTGGAAATGAAAGTGTCTGAGCCCGACGCTGATGAGTCCTTCCTGAATGCCCGACTCATCGCCTATGCCTCTGACCAGGTGAGTTGCCCAGCAACAGACAGACCTTCAGGCCAGTGCCCAGCTTCTGGAGTCTTAGTCCTTGAGTACTTTTCTTCTGGCTATGAGTAGGCTGGAGTTCAGGGCAGCTCAGGCCTGGGAGGTTATCTCCAGGAACTGCAGGGGAAATGAACATAAACCATTTGAACATTTGTACTGGATTCCCTTAGTCTTCAGTGGTTTCTGCAGAGTGTTCGTCCCAGGATGACTCTTTGCTAACAGCTTCCCATGGTCCTTCTAGGCTCACTCCTCAGTGGAAAAGGCTGGCTTGATTTCCCTCGTGAAGATGAAATTTCTGCCTGTGGATGACAACTTCTCACTTCGAGGGGAAGCTCTTCAGAAAGCCATCGAGGAAGACAAGCAGCGGGGCTTGGTGCCTGTCTTTGTAAGTCAGAATATGTTTCTAAGCTTAGAGTGATAGAACTTGGATGTGAGGAAGGAATTTTGGCAGAATTCAGGCAAATAACATGCTGCAAACAAAAGCAGAAAGGTCCTCAAATACAATGTCTTACATGTTTTGAGTTGCTATTCATTGGTGAGTTATGAAACAAACTTTGTGTGTCATAACCAGCATTAAAAAGAAATAAAATAGAAAATATTAAATTGCATTCATATAGGCAGAGTATGGATTGTTTTGTGCAACTTTTATTTCAAATACACACGTATATATGTACTAGGTTGCTATGTAATGTATTTCTTACCGTGGATCATGGTAAAATACAGTGTGAAATACACATTGTTCTAGTGGGATGGGAGAGGTGGACAATGTCTGTGGTGAAATCTTTTTCAAGTCAAATGTGTCTCCTGAGCCACCCTTCCATGTTAACTTGCCTTCATTTCCCTCCAGCTCTGTGCAACACTAGGGACCACGGGGGTCTGTGCATTTGACTGCCTGTCAGAGCTGGGCCCCATCTGTAAGTATCTGCCCTGTCTGGCTGGGAAGACAAAGAGTACATTTTTAAATGTTTCCCAGAGGAAGAACCTGAAACCAGCTCGGTGGAATTATTCTCGCCCCGTTTGGTCACTGTGGAGATGTGGGAAGAGTCACGTAACGACATGAGGGCCTTTCCCAGGCAGCCCAGGTCCTTTCTTTTCCCAGAGGTGTGGCAAGGGTGAGGGCTGCCCTGCCTTGCTTCCTGTCCTCGCAGGCATCAGTGCTAGAGGCTTCGGTTTTCTCTCACTTGTATGTCAAAATCTACTTAAAGCAGGCTATATCCAACACAGGGTGAATGAGGCACAGGGAAATATTTTCTCCTCTAGCTTCGGGAAAGGAAAAGGGTAGGGTAGGGAAAATCGTGGGAGAGATAAAGGCAGAGAAGAAACCCAAATGGGATTGTTTAATCCCCAAGCAAGAAACCCACTAGGAATGAGAGACATCTTCTCGTAACTTTTGCATTAGATGCACTAACCTTGCTCTTTGGGCCAGTGAGAAGTTGGTTTCTGTGCCAGGGTGTTTTAGATTGAGGCTAAGAGGGTGCTGGCCATCTGCCCAGTGAGAGAAAAAGGCCAGCGTGTTAGACTTTCCCGGTAGGAGGTAGTGGCCCTTGGTTCAGCCACTTCCCCACACTGACACCCCTTCCTCCCATTGTCACACCCCTCGATGTTTCACTTAGCAAAGCACATCATCCTTTTCCAGCTATTTTCTCTGCAGCCCACCATCCAGCTTGGCCAGGTGAGAGATGCCTATCAGCTGGCTGGTGGCTGCTCCCCTCTTCCCGCATCCCCTCCAGCCAGGTGACATTTGCCTCCTCAGGTGCCCGGGAGGGGCTGTGGCTCCACATTGATGCTGCTTATGCGGGCACTGCCTTCCTGTGCCCTGAGTTCCGGGGGTTTCTGAAGGGCATCGAGTATGCCGACTCCTTCACCTTTAATCCTTCCAAGTGGATGATGGTGCACTTTGACTGCACTGGATTCTGGTGAGTGAGGCAGCCAAGCTCTGAGCACACGGGAAAGCCCTGCTTCCTCTGGAGGGACCTCAGCCACTAACGCCCATTTGGAAACCCACAGGGTCAAGGACAAGTACAAGCTGCAGCAGACCTTCAGCGTGAACCCCGTCTACCTCAGGCATGCCAACTCAGGCGCGGCCACCGACTTCATGGTGAGTGGCCAGGAATGGGCCACCTGGTGGCCTCAGGGGTGAGAATTGGCTCCATTTGACCCCAAGGATCTCCCACATGTCCGTTCCCTTCGGGAGGCAGCACACTATGAGCTAAGCCCCTGATATCGCCGTTGTACACCCCTGGTTTCAAGTTGTGCACAAGTATGTAGAATAAAACCCAGAAAAGTGTTGAAAACATTAAACAGTGAGGCCAACCTTTGAGGTAATATGCACATTTTCTGAATATTTGTGGCATTCTTTTATTCCCAGAAATGTGCTGCCTACCCCAGGTGGACCACTTCTCTCTGTCTTCATCTTGGATAATCTTTTCTGCTTGCTACCCAGCAGCAGGGTAGGGTGGAGAATGTCCTTGGGTGGGAAAGAAGCTCCTTGATTAAACCACTCTCATCCTTTTGTTCTGCCAGAGGCATTGTGAGAGGCTCTGTGGTAGTGATGGGGCATGGGTTCTCTTTGGGGGCTTCTGGGTGTCTCCAAGCATCCCTGGTCTTCCCAACTAGCTGCACCTCAGCTCTCTCAAACCCACATTCTCAGCCTGTACTGTGTCCTAGGGAAACAGATTCTTCATATTCACTCATCAGTTTGAAGATGAGCCCTTCCTTTAATTGTAGAAGAGACAAGGACGTAAACGAGTATGTTACATATAACACGGCCAACAGTTGGGAGCGAAGCAAAGGAAGATGGGCTTGGTTTGGAATCCCATACAGCAGCAGTCCTTTGCAGAATTTGTTGGACCTCTCTGAGCCTTGGCTTCCTCATCTGTAAAATGGGAATAGTGGCACTGATTTCATATGGTATCGTGAGGCTTAAATGGGAACATACATGTAGGTCACTTAGCACAATACCTGTGCGGCAAATGGTCAATAAATAGGAGGCATACTTTTTCTAGAAGCTCTTCTTTCAAGCTGCAGAGATTTGCTCTAGCGGGGTGGTTAAGAACATAGGTGCTAAAGCCAGATGGCCTGTGTTTGAATCCTGGCTCCTCACATTTATTAACTTGTGTGGCCTTGGACAAATGACTTATACTACGCATTTAAGTTTCCTCATCTGTAAAATGAGGGTGATCATGACAGTTCTGGCTTCATAGGCTTGCTGTGAGGATGAAATGAATTAACACAGTGAAGCATGCAGAGCAATGCCTGGCCCCTGTGAGAGTCATTCTTTGAGAAGAGATGGTTTTGTCTTATCTCCTTGAACAATGGAGATATGACATCTCCTTAAAGATGGGAGAATAATGATCCTTTCACATCCCTTGCCATTTCTGGTGGGGTTTCAGAAAATTTAAAATTAAAAATACAATATTTCCATAGTAGCCCAAGGGGCAGATATCTTTAGGGGTAACTCTAGGTTTCTTGCCTGAGTGTGAAATGTGCCCATTCCCCTATAAGCGTAGTTGGAATTGTAACTTAAGAGCATTATCTTTACCCTTGTCTATTTTTAATTTCGTGTTACTTTTTTTGTTCATTTACCACAGTGTCTCAAGATTTTCTTGTGGTGTATTTCTACCAGTTTGGAAATTTTACGGTGCTATCTCTCTTCAAGAAAACTTATAAAACTATTAAATTAAATTTTTCCCAGCACCGATTTGGGGGAACCACACTAATTTTACTTTGACATCCAGAAGGTGCTGCTTTATGCTTATCCTTCCCCCATCTCTGATCCTGTGGATTTACTTTTCAAGTCTATGAAGACGAAGAAACTTATAGAAAAGTGCAGCTGCTGTCTTTGTTGTGATTTTGCCAGGGGGTCCTCACAGCTGCTCTGACCAAGATATTTTTCACCCAGGTGGCTACAGCTTTAAATAGAAGATCAGCTCTTCTCTGAGATGAGCCAGAAATAGGGCAGTAT